TCCCATCTGATAGTCCATACGCAGTAGATATCAACATGTTATCACCTGACTTACTCAACTCTCATGTATGCTTACCATCTTTTACAGGCAACGGTGAAGTTCCCTTTTTTTTATGGCTCAAAAAATTAGAAAATTTAGCTCAAGCTCAACAACCTAACCCATGGGCTCCTGAGGTTACGGCACACAGGCTACCTCTCTATTTAGATAGACCTGCTCATGAAGAATATGAATCATTCGACGACCCCACCAAAAACAATTTCGCCGCTGCAGTCACCAAATTAAAAGACCTCTTTGAATCGCCCAAAATGCGCAACATGGCCAGGCAAAAATTACTCAACTGTAAACAAAAGGAAGGTGAGAAAGTTACCACACCTGTAGAATGTTTACACAATATGGTCAGATCAGCAACTGTCGGACTAAACGACCACATTTTCAAAGACATTCTTTTTGATCACTTCATGGATCGTCTCAGGCCTGATATATCATTTTTCCTTCAAACTGCTTCTCCTCTTTCCTTTAAGTATGCCCTAGCTAAAGTTTGTCAAGCAGAAAACTTAATCCTAGCACGTAAAATACTTCAATCACTTTCAGACGACCAACTTAGAATAATAGCCTCCCTGGAAAACAATGACAACATGATCAATGCCAAAGCAGCCAATCATACATATCATATGGGTAATCGCAATTCAGCACAGTAGGCTGACGCTCATAATAGCAGGGCAGAAGGGGCCAATAAAAGTTTCATCATCCAATTAATACTATGACAATAGATGGCTCCCTCAAAGTCGCCAATACGAAAGTAACTACGACACCCGACCTTACTGTACATACTGCGACAAACTCGGTCATTTGGTTTACAGCTACTTTCGCCGACTACCACCTGCAGACTTACGACTTCCTGTATTACAGTCAAACAACTACAGAAGTCGCGACCGCACTTACGGCTACTCTGCCCGACCATCTCAGCATTTATAATATACACTTCCATCTCACTATAGAACAAATCCTACGCCCGGTTATCCGACACAAAGTAATTATTACCCTCCCAGCAGCAAAACAGATCTAACCCTAATATTCCACTCCGACCCCTACATTGTAATCTTTGCTGTCATGGAATATGCTCGCTTAACACTACGCATCAGGATGATAATCAAAGTTCATCTCACCCTATCTATTTTAGCACAACAGCTGTTTTTGATTCACTTGCTACAAGAATTTCCGATCCTCGGCCATTAATCAAAACAATCGCAGAAAGTTTCCATCACCAATATCACTGCACTAACAACACTAAATGTGTTCCTATTAATCACGCAACTAACACACCTGTCGACCAGCGCATGTTACGCAACTTATGTTATCCACCTTTAGCTACTACTCATTCTGCGCCATCCCCCTCTCTCGCTCCGCCCCCTCCCCCTCCCTCCCCCGTCCCCCTCCCAGCACCCCCTCCCATCTCATCTCAACCTACTCCTCGATAGAGCACACTTGTTTATACCTCAGTGCACCAACAACGACAACTCCGAGCACCTCTATTGGCTATGCCACGATCTTTAATTCTTGTTCTTTTTATTTTTCTCTTCTGTAAAATCCCCCCTATTTTTTCGGTTACTCCTTCGTCACCAGTGATGTGTCAAGTTGCTAACTCGCGCATGTTTTGGAGTATACCAGGCCCTCCTGAATGTCCCAATCTTGATGAAAATAACATGACTCCTCTTACTAACATCACCTTTACAGCATTTCGGCCCAAGACAATTCGATATGAAACAAAAGCATATACCTGTCCTATCGCTCACAAAGTCATATATTAATACACTAATTTCCTCAGTGACAAATTCAGCCGATCCGAAATGGATAACATTTTTATTTCTACATCTGCCTGTCGGAGTATGGCCCACCACAAAACCTGCCTGTTTAGTAACCTAGTCCTAAACGGAGAAGTCTATCAAATTGAAAATAACCTAAATATTGATTTTCCTTATCCGATCATTGGCAGTTTTCATAAGCGCAAGACTGAAGCAACCAACTGTCACGTTTTCCAATCTGTTGCTTCAGCCACATTCGATAAAGATCTTCAATCTCCTACAGGTAAAATGGAAAGTTGCAGGCACGAGGATGGTTCATGTCATCTCAAAGACAACTCAGCATTGCTCAAGTTACCACTTTACCTCACCATCCTTATAACTTGCGTCCCCGTACATAACGTATATCATTACTAACATTACGCAATAATGCGGCAATCTCAAATTTATATAAATCGAGTAATATTGCCATTTCTTTTAGATGAGCGATATTCCTGACACTGACGTTGACTTGAACGATATACCAGCACCAGCTACACGAGCGCTTACTACATTCCGTGGAGGCACACGTACGTTCATCAATGCGTCATACGGACGCTCTGCGTATGCTTGGCATCAGCCACCGATGCCACAAGATTCCGGTCCACTTTTCCCTGCTGCACTGCGACAGTTACAACAGAAATGCTCACCACATGATGCTCATACCATTGATGGCTTCCCACCACTACCTTCTGCAACTGATTCTCATTCTACTACCGCCAATATTCCTACTACTCCTATTGCTCTCCGCGACATTTCTTTCAGCTCACCTGCTACTCCGTCCTGCTCCAGTCCTCCTTCATCGTATCAGTCTCGCGTTTTTAATCAACAGCTACCAAGTAGCGAATTATATCAAGCATCAAACAACTTAATACCATCACGAATTTCCAACAAACTATCTTACTCACAACCAATCGAATTTCCAAATCCAGTCAGATATATTATCATTCAAGCTTTCACCCAAAGATGGACAGCAGCCTTACTGCCTGAGCAATCGAAACAAATAATGAGTACAGCGCCTGTTTTACTTCGCATAGATGAAGATGCTGGTATTCAATTCTCAAATATTAGCCGACGTCTGGCACGCCATAACAACGCGCCACAACTTTTGGATGAGATTGATGTCTATGCTTATGCTATGGTATATGTAGAAGGACAAGCGCTACCATTTCAGTCATTCCAGGACACCGACATCAGCAATGTTCTCGGTTTCGACTCTGCAAAACCTACAGCAATTGTTGCCGCCGGTACAATTGATCTAGAAGTACGACCTCGCCCTCGAGAAATCCTAACAGTAATCCAGATTTGTACAGCTAACCGTCCGCGATCACAGCAACGACCAACGCTTCAATTTGTCAGTCGATATCATGAATCTCAAATGCAACTTCGCGAATACCAACTGGACTTCACATATTGTACAAATCCACCTCCCGGCTCTTTCGCACGTAGTCTCCAACTAGTTCTTGATCCTGGTATGCAGATTGGCTCCAATTTTGTCTTACCACGCCATTATCGGCCACAACAAAAAGCCCGTTACATAACTGAAGAAGAAAAATTCTCGTATGTCATAAAACTCACACCACTTGCTCCAAATGACCATACTGTCTTGCCAAATCCACTCAACAGCACAACTCGCGATAACATACGCTCCATAATGTGTGAATATGAAGATGTTTTGTTAGCGACTTCAGCCTTCATGCAAAATCGCCAAAGAACGGCATTCGAAATAACAGCATATATTGGGGAAGATCATACCTTTGATGGCAACTTCATACATCTTCAGATTACACCGAGCGATGACCCGCGGATTGCAGTCACGCGTAATAAACTTTGGGAACGACACTGCCGAATGGTATTTAAAGTAACTGATCCATCAGCAAAACGTCCCGTCATCCATGACTATTCTCTCCCTACAACCCCACCACAGGCTATTGGTAAACTGACGCAAGTCAATATTGAAGACGATGGAACCATCAAAGCAATGCTTTATTTTGATGATGAACAGCTACGAATTGCTGTTGAACTTACTGAAGAAGCACACTTACAAGAAAAGCTTATCAAAATTCATCCTGACCCATACTCAACCGGTTATGAATTTCGCCTCGAACGTTTCAGATATCGCGAACTTACCCGAGCAGTATCCGACCCACCCCCAACTCCTCACCAATCTATAATCAGATCCCTAATGGGAATTGAAAACACCGCTCAGCGCTCCACTCAAGAAATTTTAACTAATGCGCCCTCACTTCAAACTAATACTCCACTCAACCCGCCACAGATTGCCGTGATTCAAACCCTCTTAGCAGGTGTACCAGTCCTATACCAGCAAGCACCAGCCGGCACTGGAAAAACTTATGTTATTGCAGCCTACGTGGCAAAGATCTGTAACACTCTCGCTGACGATGACATGATACTTTTAACAGCTTTCACTAACCTATCCGTCATTAACATTGCATCAGCAGTACTTCAGCTAGCTACTACAGGTCCTCATGATCTGCTGTCTCTCCAATCCTTGATGGCTGAACGTACTTATCCACGCCACAATGATGTAAGCAACAATCCATGGACACAACACCGCGTTCCAGAGCGCCTCCATTCGCAATGCAGCGCCAACGAACTAACCGATGAAGATCTTGACTTCGCTAGCCACTATGTGTCATACCGCCTGACACACAGAGGACAACCGTACGATGAGGTACGAGCAACTCGTGTTTCGGTACAAGCAACACCGCCAAAATTGGTTTTCGGAACAGTAGCAATGCTTGAACTAAGAGCACGACGATTTTGCTTAAATGTGTCACATCTTGTCTGCGACGAAGTTGGATCAATCCCCGAAAGTCAGTTGCTGGCTTTGGTCAGTAGTATTCGCAGACTGAGACAGTTGTTTCTTACAGGCGATGCCAAGCGACTGTCCGCTTACCGTGCAAACGTCCCGGATCGCATTGTACCTTACGGATTACGCGGAGCAGTTGAATCAATTTCAGATCGGAACGTCATTCCCATACTTTCTTTAAAACACAATTTCAGAAGTCATCCGTATTTGACACTCTATCTGTCACATGCCGCATACAACGGTGAATTAACATCACCATTATTACCTATTCAGCGACCACTTCTTGTTGACTCCGATTTCCCCCTACCCGTCCAACATGTACCACTACTGTTACTCCATGCGCCCGGAACCAGCCTTCAGGATATTTATCACTCGCGTCACAATCCGGAACAAGAAAGTATCGTTGAAAAGCTAGTATGGCGCCTTCATCAAAGCGTTAAAGCCTCATCAGTGGTTATCCTTTGTTTCTATCTTGGAACCAAGCGTATGATCACACGAAGCATG